TGACAAATCTAATGCCCTCTCATCAGAGTCCTGCAGTTCTTGGGGCTGCTTGTCACCCTAAAAGGTAGGATGCAGAGTGCTCAAAGGGACAGAGATAGGAGAGACAAGTGGGTGGGAGCAGCTGAAGAGGAAGTCCCTTACCTTATTGAGACTCAGGGCTAGGAGGGACCAAACCTGGAATGGCTTGGACTAGGGTGGGTACCCAGCTAATGGAATTAGGTTAATGACAGGAATGGGAAATGTGGAGATTGCCGTTGTTAAATGATCCAGTAATGTGACATTGCACCTTACAACCACATCGCTGACCAATGGAAATTCTGGTCCCAATTGTGATGTCAAGGACTACCTGTAATTATCAATAATGGGCAGAGTCTTTTAGATTCAGAAGCTATTCACAACCAGTTTTCTTTCCTTTTTTAGAAGTCATTATGTTTCCCAAACTGGGCAGGCTTTAACCAAAGAACTGAACTAAGACTATCCCAAACATCCATTCCAAATAGTCAACACTAGAAAACAAATTTCCATACTGGATTGGCTGTTGTCTGGGACAATAAGGGTCGTAACTGATACTATAGCTCCCGTGCATCAGGTGACAAGTGAGCTACAAGTTTTGGTTCCCACTGCTAGGAAAGCAGATATCCACAAATGTAACAATACACAACTGTGAATACATAAATTAAAGGTAAACTCATTTATAAAAAAATGTTATCAAATTCTCTCCCATCCTATTTAATAAACTAGACTTGTATTCATGCATTTGTTTGTGCAGAGGATTAAAGAGCAGTTAGTTGTAGGTAAGGCTTTTACTTCCCGAAATACATAGAGTAATGCTTCAATCTTCATGTATGTGAAGAAACTTTAATTATGCATGGCTGAATACTGTTCAGTTAACGCCTTTAATTGAAAGCAAAAACCCTGCTTTTATATAATTTAGATAGTTATTTTTAGTACTTTCAAAGTTAATTAACAATAAACATAAGTATAAATGAAAGTATGATATTTCATTGAAGAATATTTTGATATTCTTTCATTAAATTAGATTTTAGAAAAATAAAAATCAAAAGGAAAGGAAAAGAAATAGAAACTTGAAGTTATATAGAACACTTTTACTATGGTTCTACATTTCAAATGCAGGATATCTATGGAATTAAATGATACAAGCAGTAATGCATATACACCGTATTTCTCTCTCCATAAGACGCACTCCCTCCCCCCCAAAAAAGTGGATGAAATGTCTGTGTGTCAGTGCTGGTCCTTTGGTGAATAGCAGCTGGGCTGCCATGGCGGGATCGTTTTTACAGCACTGAACTCCGCTTCTTTTGTCTTAGTTATTACCCCCCTCTTCTGTCTCTTTTCCACAGTGCACGAGTCAATAAGCAGAGCTGGCACATGAGAAGAAACCTATCCGTGGTCCTCTAAGGCTCCATCTGGGGGGGGGGGGTTCCCCTTGTTTTCCTCCTCTAAACCTAGGTGTGTCTTATGGACAGATGCATCCTATAGTGCGAAAAATACAATAATTGCTTAGTTTCCTAAAGAATTGAATTAAATCAACTGGAAGGAATTGAACTTGTATGTCCAAATATCTATTTTGGCTGCTAGTCTGGCTTTCAAAACAGAACATACAGCTCAGGAGAAGATATGTAATCTTTGTTATGTTCTAAAAATTCACTTTCAGGAATTAAAAACATTTTAACTGTGTATAATTTTTTTTAATCTGAAACAAACTGCTTGCAACAGTTCTGTCATTTATGTGACAGAAACCATGTGCTCTTCAATGGAGCAAGATGACATCTCCTCACATGATTCTACACTGCCATGGTGAAGCCCAAATAACAAAAATGTACACCCCTTTTTTGTACAAGTGGGGATGGAACAGGATTTTGGCATGAAGCTGAGGGAGAAGAGCTAAGACAATATGTTGCTGCCTGGCAACCAAGCACTAATTGTTCTGTGGAAGAAGGTGTTCTCTTCCCCACCAACACCTGGCAAGGCAATATGGAGAGGACAGTTCAAGAGATAGCAGCATTAGCATGGGCATTCATTCACAAGCTGCAAAGGACCTCATGCAGATTGGGGAAATAAATGCACTTGTCTTAGTGGAAAGAAGCAAAGAATCAGTACTGATGAACTCATCAGAGAGTTACAGGGTGACTTGTTTGGAGCAGCTGCCTGATTTAATAACTGTTCACAGTTATGACAGAGATGAAAAAGTAACTTTACAACCAATAATTTTGCAACTCTGTACACAAAGGAAAGCTGAAGTAGGATCATACTTGCAGTTTCACTTAGTGACTGGTATATTTAATGACTTGAATTGTTATTCCCAATTGTGGTACCAATTGAACTATTGCTAGTAAACATTGTGGGGTTTCTTCTGAAAAATATAAAAAGATTACAGCAGTGATCCCCAACCTTTCTTATGCCGCGGCCCGGTATCCCCAACCTTTTTTATGGCGCGACCCGGTACCGGCATTAGCTGGGCGCCGCCATCTTTTTTTGATGAAAA